CTCGCCCTGGCCCCTCCCCCTCACCTGGCCCCTCCCCCTCACCTGTTCCCCAGCTCAGCCTGTCCTGAAACCTCACCTGTGGTGGCCACAGCTTCTCACCTGTGCCTGAGCTCACCTGAAGTCACCTGAACTCACCTGAGCCCACCTGAACTCACCTGCCATGAGGGTCCGGGGCCCCCTTTACCTGGGGGCTCACCTGGGGCTGCTGCTGCACCTGTGGGCGCTCTGCGGTGAGTGGGGGAGGGGACAGGTGAGAGGGGTCAGACAGGTGAGACCTCCCAGCTCCCACACCAGGTGAGCCCCTGAGTGCCCAGGTGAGCTCACCTGTCTGCGTTCCGTGCCCCAGGTGTGCCCCCAGGTGCGGCCCTGACACCCCCAGGTGCAACTCCGGAACCCTCAGGTGAGCACCTGACACCCCCAGGTGAGCCCTGACACCCCCAGGTGAGCCCTGAGTGCCCAGGTGAGCCCTGGTGCCCAGCTGAGCCCTGGCACAGCCAGGTGAGCCCTGAGTGCCCAGGTGAGCTCACCTGTCCCTGCCCTGTGTTCCAGGTGTGCCCCCAGGTGCGACCCCGGAACCCTCAGGTGAGCACCTGACACCCCCAGGTGAGCCCGGGGCACGCCCAGGTGAACCCTGGAGTGCCCAGGTGAGCCCCTGGAGTGCCCAGGTGAGCCCTGGTGCCCAGGTGAGCCCTGGCACGCCCAGGTGAGCTGAGCCGTGCCGTCGGTGCCCAGGTGAGCCCGAGGAGGGCCAGGTGCGCCTGGCCGGGGGCCCGCACAGGTGCGCGGGGCGCGTCGAGGTGTTCCACGCGGGCAGGTGGGGCACGGTGTGCGACGACACCTGGGACCTGGCGGCCGCGCGGGTCACCTGCCGCCAGGTGCGCTGCGGCCCCGCCCTGGCGCCGGCGGGCTCAGGTGAGTTCGGGCCAGGTGAGGGCCCGGTGTGGCTCGATGACGTCACCTGCACGGGGGAGGAGGCGGAGCTCGCGCGCTGCCCCGCCCGCACCTGGGGGGAGAACAACTGCCACCACGGCGAGGACGCAGGTGTGCGCTGCACAGGTGAGACACAGACAGGTGTGCACAGGTACTGACAGGTGTGCACAGGTAAGCTCGGCCAGGTGTGCACAGGTGAGACACAGGTGTGCACAGGTGTGCGCTGTGCAGGTGAGACTGGACAGGTGTGCGCAGGTACTGACAGGTGCACAGGTGTGTGCTGTGTGCAGGTGAGACACGGATAGGTATGCGCAGGTGAGACACGGGCAGGTGTGCACAGGTGAGACTGAGCAGGTGTGCTCAGGTGTGCGCTGAGCAGGTGAGCTCTGACAGGTGAGGCTGGACAGGTGTGCAGGTGTGCACCAACAGGTGTGTGCAGGTGTGGCATGGCCAGGTGTGCAGAGGGGAGTGCAGACAGGTGTGACATGGCCAGGTGTGACATGGCCAGGTGAGACTGGGCAGGTGTGTGCAGGTGAGGGGGTGGGGCCTCCACAACTGCTACCACAGCGAGGACGCAGGTGTGCGCTGCGCAGGTGAGCGCAGACAGGTGTGCTCAGGTGTGCACAGGTGTGCACAGGTGTGTACAGGTGTGCTCAGGTGAGCCGGGGCAGGTGCACCAGGTGTGCCACTCCTCCCTTCCCTCCCCCACAGGTGCTGATCCCTCGCTGCAGGTGCATCCCCAGGTGCGCTCACACGGGGATGTCCAGGTGAGCGCCCAGGTGGAGCCCCAGGTGGACTCACAAGTGGACTCACAGGTGGACACCCAGGAGCAGTTGAAGGTAAGGCCTCAGGTGTGCCCAGGTGCACCCAGGAGCCCCCAGGTATGTGCAGGTGCCCCTAGGTGTGTCCAGGTATGCCCAGGTGTCCCCAAGCGCCTCCAGGTGACCCAGGTGTACAAGTGAGCCCAGGTTTGCCCCAGGCTTGTCTCAGGTATCCCCAGGTGTTTCCTGCTGTCCCCAGCTGTCCCCAGGTGACCCAGGTGTGTCTGTGGATATCCCCAGCTGTCCTCAGGGGTGTCCCCAGGTGTGTCCCAGCTGTCCCAGGTGTGTCCCAGCTGTCCCAGGTGTGTCCCAGCTGTCCCAGGTGTGTCCCAGCTGTCCCAGGTGTGTCCCAGCTGTCCCAGGTGTGTCCCAGCTGTCCCAGGTGTGTCCCAGCTGTCCCAGGTGTGTCCCAGGTGTCCCCAGGTATCCCCTGGGGTATCCCCAGCTGTCCCCAGGTGTGTCCCCAGGTGTGTCCCAGCTGTCCCAGGTGTCAGGTATCCCCAGGTACCCCCAGCTGTCCCCAGGTGTACCCCCAGCTGTCCCAGGTGTGTCCCAGGTGTGTCCCCAGGTGTACCCCCAGCTGTCCCAGGTGTGTCCCAGGTGTGTCCCAGGTGTGTCCCGTCCCGCTCTTGGCAGGTGCGGCTGGTGAACGGCTCGTCACGCTGCGCGGGCAGGGTGGAGGTGCTGCACAAGCGCAGGTGGGGCTCGGTCTGCGACGACACCTGGGACATGGCGGACGCACAGGTGAGGGGGACACACCTGGGCACACCCGTGCCCCCCCGTGGCGCTCCCTCACCTGTCCCCTCCCCCCCAGGTGATCTGCCGCTCCCTGGGCTGCGGCTCCGCCCTGGCCGCCCCCGGCCACGCCCGCTTCGGGCAGGGGGCGGGGCCCATCTGGCTGGACGGGACGCACTGCACAGGTGAGGAGCTCACCTTGGCCAGGTGCCGCCTGCACACCTGGGGCGAGCACAACTGCGGCCACATGGAGGATGCCGGAGCCATCTGCTCAGGTGAGCGCGGGGACGGGGGGACAGGTGAGGGCAGGGAACAGGTGAGACAGGTGAGACAGGTGAGGGCAGGTGGGGCTCAGGTGGGGGCAGGTGGGGCTCAGGTGAGACAGGTGCGACAGGTGAGGGCAGGTGGGGCTCAGGTGGGGGCAGGGGGGGCAGGGGA